TGCATATAAAAGTTATGTTTACGTCATACTGTAGTCTATTAAGTATGCAATAGCATTGTGTCTAAAAGAACAATGTATATACATTAGTTAGAAAATACTTTATTGCTAAAAAGTGCTAACCATCACTCAGGCCTGTTGGATGGTGCCGATTGACTTGCTCGAAGCAGGGTTGCAACAAACCTTCAATTTGTTTAAAAAACAAAAAAACGCCAAGAAAACCCCACCCAAATCTGTGAAGCACAATAAAATGAGGGTATGCCTGTACCCAGTCTCTCAATATTGTTGGCTTTTTGGTTTCGCTATTTGGTTGTTTTGTTTCTTTTTCTATGGGATCCAGGGAGTTTCAAAAACTATCCTGCTGTTGCCATCTGCCCCCATCCTCTAGTCTCCTGATTTTGAATCACATATTCTTCTGTTTATTCCAGGCCAATTTGTCTTTGGTCAAAGGGCAGCTCTGGACATTAGCCCCACACAGCCCCTTGATTTTCAGGGGAGAAATGATCATGTATTATGGAACGATGTTTTGCTGTGTAACTTCAACCCATAGCTCTAGGGTTTGCTGTTGATTTCACCCGTAAACTTTCATCAAATGTCTTAATGGCCCATGACCTACAAATAGATTTAAATAAAACACTAGTTTTCGCCTTAATTTCTCTTATGTTTGTGCAGTGCAACCATCTTCTCATATAATTTCAGTAAGTTATGCAGAAAGCATCCTTTTTTTACCTCCCATTGATAGTTGGAAATTTCAGACTGCCCTTCAGTAGTTTACCCCACCCCTGGAAAAATAGGTCTCATCTGCTTGTGTATGTCTATAAATTAGTGAGTGTGTTAAATCTATCACAGCATGAAATCATTTCAAACGCTGTGAAAGACTATCTTAAAGAATTTAAATTGATTGCAGATGTTGGTGCAATTAAGCAGGCCTGATGAGCTCAGAATCATGTTTCTCAGATTTGAATATCAATGCATTTAAAAAAAATTATGGTGATGTACTCCATGTAAATGGAGTTCATAGGCGTCTGGGTTTCTATCACCTTGTTTTTAAAAATGGTTCAGCAATGAGAAAGTGTTGTGTGATCCTTTATGCAGATCCTTGCGTTCCTTAGAATGAAAATGTATTATCTTAAGTATGAATCCCCATGCCATCCTTAATTACAATAGAATTGACTTTGAATGGTTATTCCCTTCATTATTTCATTTGTCTACCAGTTTGTCCACCTTTTGTGCCTATAAGTCATTTAAAAATTATTCTATGGACAGAGAGTTATTTAATCCCTATTTTTAAGAAGGAAAACACGAGTATAACAAGCCAGTGAGTTGGCTTAGATAATAAAAACATAGGACAGCGGTTCTCAACCTTTCACTGGGGTCGCCTAAGACCGTCGGAAAACACATATTTTCGATGGTCTTAGGAACCGAGACACCGCTCCTCTATCCGTCTCCAGGCCCACATGCAGATACACCCACATACGAGTACCTGGCGACCCCTGTGAAAGGGCCGTTCAACCCCCAAAGGGGTCGTGACCCATAGGTTGAGAACCGTTGGCATAGGACCTTTTTTCCCCTTGAGGTTAGATCTTTAGTCTAGTACAACTCTACGTACTTTTAGTTGCTTTGGCTTTAAACTGCTGAAGTATAAAAGAAACTTTTCTAATTATTAAAATATAACCTATTCGGTTGCAAATTAGAAAGTGAATTCTGAAACAAGACTGTAATAAGATTAAATGGAATGTACGATGTGTTCATTTTCAATTTATTTTAAATTGATCCGTGCACATTAAGTAATTAAACTCATCAATTTCTGTTACACATTGTAAAATGTTATGGACATTAGGACTTGATTATACACACAGTAGTAAAATAAATTACAAAAAAGGTGAGTCAATTGTATTTAGATACAACTTTTAAATACTAAGAAAATTACTGAAATATTATTTGTAGTATACTAACATTAACAACTTGAGATAGGAACAAAGAATACATTAAATGTTTTCTAGATGATGTGTANACTTCTAAGATCTTAAATATTTATATCAAGGTGCTGTGAAGGGAATTTTGTCTTTTAAGTGCTTGAACAGTTTGGTAGCCAAACACTGACTCAGCTGAGGGCATGACCTAGTGACTGATGAATTGTAGTTTGCTTCTAAAACTTAGGAGAAATCTGACTTGCTGGGCCCCATAGGTGTACGAGGTCCTGATTGTTATGGTCCCATCTTTGAGTGAATATGGAGTTTATATACACTTGGTGTTTTATACTACACGTCACTAACGGGCCGGGGCTAAGATCAGGAGGAAACCCCCTGAGCTGCCTCCTCCTTGGGCCATTTCTGTCTTCCTTTGCCTCTCTTTCCTTCGCCAGAATAGCCTCTCACTTAAGCGACTTAATTGACAGATCCTGGTAACAATTCCTCTATTTATGTGGATATACTTGACTTGTGTTTTTAGTGAGAATCAGGCCTGTAGCAGTATCCGGGTATCTTAAACCCTCATTTTGAAAGCTGCTTGATCAGTGTTAGATTTTCAGGTGGTACCTCTCTTTGTAAATGTGACTTTTGAATAAGTTAAGCAGTGAATGAGTATTTTACATAGGGGTGGAGAATAGACAACTAAAACTATAGGATGCCTCGCCTTTTTGCTGGGATAGGTACTAGGTGTTTGATAATACGGGCTTGTAGCTTTCAGAATCTGGGAAGTGGTTGGCTTATTTACCTTTTAATTTTTGAGACGCGGAGCAACTCTTTCAAAATGGTGCAAGCTAGTTTCAGGTGCAGGTGTTGTAAAAAAATACACACACACACACACACACACACACACATACATACACGTATTTGGAAATTGTGAATGCTAATGACTTTATGAAAGGCAGAAATCTTCAACTAATTTTCTATAGTGATGCCAATGTTCTTTTACTGGCCGGCTGTGAATGTGAAAAGCTGTTTTGGTAAGTGTTTTACCTGTGACGATGATCTAAAGTACTTTCCTCTCTGTGTCTCAGTTCCTTTCTCTCTCCTCCAGGCAGAACTGCATGTAAATCATTCCAAAAACAATTAATGCTGCTTTAGTCACAAATTATGGATTTTCTGTGCATAGTGTCTGTAGACTTGTGCTCTTAGATTCTAAAATGAGGCTTTTTAATTGTGTTTTCCAGGAAGATATGAATTTAAATGAAGATAAGAAGGCACCATTGCGGGAAAAGGACTTCAGTATCAAAAAAGAAATGGTGTTGCAGTACATTAATACGGCTTCCAAGACAGTAAGTAAAACTGTCAAGGGGAAAAATACCGCTGAAGCGTGCAGTGGGATGAAAAACAATGCATTTGTCTAACGAAGCGCTTAAGGTTGTGGCCAGCTGGAATCAGGGCTGGTGATGTACAGCTAATATATAATTAAAGGCACACGTATTGTAAGTTTGTTTTATTTAAAAGTATCTCTCACCTTATAACTTTTAAGCTGCTTTTGTTTTTGAGCCACTCACGTTGCTAAGAAACACTGATTTGTTGGTTTGCTCACGCTTAAGACAACTTCTCTTGTTAGTGAATTCAGATGGTTATTGATTTCCGTGTCAGTTATCAATTGGGATACTATTTGTATTATAGAAAAGTGGGACTGCTTTTATTTCAACTACCTAAATCAGGATGCATAACAGTGGCCTAGAGGCATATCTTTAATGCGAGTTTTCCTATGGATAAAATTATCTTGTAAAAATTATAAATGTAGACATTGAAAGGAACATTAAGCCTCTCTATGGCTGCCAG